AAGGAAGAAATTATTAACTGGTCCCTTCAGCACCTCTGCCTCATGGGGAATCTTGACACCATTTTGCTTACTGGCAGCCTGGCTTCATGAGCCAAGGACATCTCCTCCTCAAGTTTGATGTACTTGCCTTCAGCTCAAGCTTTCTGCTATCTCTGCTACGTGAAGAGAACGCAAAAGCTTTCCTTATTTGTACTTTGACTGGATCAACGAAAAGCTATTGCCCACCCTTGATTTTTGCTTCTACGTACGGATCAAATGGCCATCTTTTGTATCCAAACTCAATTCTGTGGATTAGTAAGCTTGTTAGTTGCAAATGACATGGAACAAGAAATATTGCCCATGCCTTTGGCTTGCATGGGTTTTTGAAAGTATATGGCTGGAGTTGCCAAGTGAAGCATTTTGAAAATCACACAGCCTTCGTTTACCCACCATGGATTTGTCAAAACATTTTAACTTTTTGCCTCTAGTCAGTCTAAGAAATACAGCCACAAATGCCTTCTTGTGTAAGTGAACTCGAGATCACCTGCTCCAGGTGTGAAAAGTGGAGCAGTGGAGGGACTCCCAGCTTGTCCCAGTCCCCTCAATGCAAGCGTGGTTGTAATCAGGACAGGACAACGAGGGCTTTGCCCCAGGAAACCAAAATCTGGAGGGCACCAGAGTTTGCAGAAGAGTGTATTGGTGGGTGTTAGGGAAATAAATAGCAGATAAATACCTCCTAGCACAGCTTCCTGTTTTGAAAGCACGAACTTCCTCTTTCTTTTTGGGGAACACCACACTATCTTCTTTTTTCTTTGGAGGGGTATGGTTGTATCCCTTGTATCAGTTCAGAGAGCATGGCAGATGATGACGCCTGCTCCAAATTACCTGGTTAAGATTCTGAATGCAAGGGTAGGAATCCTGTGTCCCTCCTCCAAGGGTAACCTCCCATCTGTTTTAGGTGTTTTTTTCAAGAGAGGACTCACCTCTGTTAGAGGTATGGTTCTCCTCTAAAACAAGATGCAGGGCCCAATGCCTCGTTTTAGCAAAAACTCTTGTTTTGGGAAAACTGAAGTAGTTAAAAAAAACAACTGAAACTAAGTGGTTGTATGGTTAATTCTTATTGAGGTTAGAGTGGCTGGCGTGGTTTCATACAATCTCTGGAACTGGAGAAATGGCTTCTGGACCCCCAAATTTCCCCCACTCTGGTCTCGCAGTTTTTTACCTTTCTGTCTTTGGTTGAGGCCAAAATCTGCCCCTAAAGTTGCCTGCCTGCCTGCCTGCCTGCCACGCTGGTACATGGATATGTTGGAGATGCTCACCAATGTCATAGATGTTCTTGTTAGCAGTTGACAAGGCTGGCGTGTCAGAGTAGGATGAGTCCCGGTGAACAGGAGATTTCATTTCCACGTAGCTGCTCTCAGAATGTTTGCATGTCAAGATGGGGGGGTCCTTGATGGTGGCGTAAGGGTTCTCGCTGCTGTTGATGGAACAGGTGCTGGAGCTGCAGGCCGATTCCTTCACGTAGTCTGCAAGACAAGAGCCGGCCCGGCTTCTTTAAGCACCAGTGCTACTGAACCTGGGGGCAGGGGGAGGGAAGGGTGGATGTCTAGCCCTCAGGGCGCACCGCACTGTGAACCCACCAGTTACGCCTCAGGTATGTCCGAACCACTGTCTCGCCAAACCATCTGCTCATCCAAACTCATTCGCAAGTCATTTCCTGAACATTCAGTAGGAAGAAAAACAGCCCTTCAGTGCTACAGCTTTCAGGGTTACAAGGGTCTCATTGCGATTGCACATTACATTACGTACACACAGCTACCCTGCCCCACATTTTTAAAGGAAAACCCCAGGTAAGAACACACACACACACACCCATTCCCACCCCCAGTGTACCACCCTCCAAACAAGAAATCATGCACAATCCCTCCCCACGCCCAGAGAGTACTTTGCAAGCAAGCCAAGTTGGTATATCAGAGGTACTGCCCAAGGGCAGCTACGGGGGACTCTTCCACAGCGCCCCCTGGAACAGCTTTTTGGAACTGGAACAACACATGCCAGAAACAAACCAAATAGCGTTACCGAGAAGACTTCCTGTTGCCTGGCATCGCATGATATTCTATGTATATCAATAGATATTTGCTCAAGGAAACGTTGGGATTTCTTCATACATTTCCTTGAGATGATTCCTTGCTTGCTTGCCAACAGAGACATTGTCTATTGGGGTTTCTTCATACATTTCCTTAAGATGATTTTGAAGATGATTGCTTGCTTGCTTGCCAACAGAGACATTGTCTATAATAGGTTAACATTCCCCTTTTGCATTGCTTTCTCCCCCACCTCACCCCACTTTTGAGCCCATTTAGTAGCGTTCTTTGAAATGTAAAAGAAACAAGTCTGAAGTTTGCCTCCCCTTCATTTCCTCGTGTTACCCCAAGCGCTGTATGCGTTAAGAGAGATGCATCCACAATGCTGTTTCTAAAAGTACAATACATGATGCAATAATAAAGGGAACATTCTTAAGCAAGTAGAAAGAAGTCAGAAGTCCTCCTGGCCTATGGCCAGTTAAAACAGCAAGACAAACATTTGATTGTTAGATAGGAAAACTTGGTCCCAGCTATTGACATCTTAAGAGGAATGGACCTGCTGACAGGGGTGGGGACGCGAGTTGCACAACTTGCTGTCAAGTCGGACTTAGGCCACACAGATGATTCAACTCGGGTTTTTCCAATGATTCCAACTTGACTTGCAACTCAGAACTCACCCACTTCCTCCCTCTTTTCTGGTGGAAAAAAACTGGTTTTTAACAGGGACTCGAACTCGGGACCTGGAGAGCTGCCAGCATCCCTGGCTGCTGGTAAAAGAGGCTTACCTGTAATTTTATTACCTGGTTTTTGTTTGTCTCTGGTTTCTTAGTGGGCATCCAGAGAGAGATGTTACTGAAAATCCCATCAGAGGACAAGTACCGTATTTCCTTATCTTTTGAGACATCACCCCCCTTGAACGCCCCACCCTTTCCCTAACACTAGACCACTGGGTGTTCTTAGGGAAGAAGAGTGAGTCTCAGTCGCTGAACCTCCAGATGCTCTAGATTTCCATCCCTAGAAACCCCATCCAGAACGGCCAATGATACCAGATTCTGGGATTTGAACTCTGAAGCATCCGGAGGGCCAAAGGCTGAAGAGTTTGTATCTCAACAGTGGTACAAAAAGGCATGTGGTTTTCAGACATGGCTTTTGAGCACATTTCACATGTTTGTCTCTGGCTAGGCCTCTATGACTGTCCTCCTTCACTCTCAGAGTCCTTTAGTTAAACATAGGAATGTTTTAAGATTAATGTCTTAATTGGTTTCCAGTTCTGTTCTGCCTTGTTCCTCATGGATTTTAATTAATCCTGAATAGTTTAAAAAGAAACAATGGTGAATTTGCTCCCCTGTGCCGTCATTCATCAAACTACTTGTTCCTTTGACCAGCTGGTGTGTAGCAGAAGCTGCACCCACTTACTTCGCCATCTGAGAATGAAGCGCTAAACTACAAGTGAGAGAAGCGAGTCATTTTCTAAAACTGTCAGAGTCTATTTGATTCATTAAAAGCAGCCATGCAGAAGTCCTAGCTGGATTGGGACCAAAGATGGGAGAAGACGGATTAATCTCCCCATTTTATGTTAACATTTATCTCCTATCTGTCCTTCAAAGAGAGGATCCTATAGGCTGAAGTTCAAAATGCTGGAGTTATTGCAACCTTGCATGCTGCCTCTTATAGATGTGGCTCGGAAGGACTTTTATGGGCTGGGGCGACTGTCAAATCTACCCAGCAGTAACCCAGTGTTCCTTCTTCTGATTCAAAGAGAGCTAACCTCCCCCCCATAAGAGGTTCCCCCCCCTTTCTCTTTTGTCTGCTGAGAGTCAATCAATCTGCTGGAAGCAGGTAATCTGTTAAGGCTTGTTGCTGAAAGTCATCCAATCAGTTGTGTTTGTCCCTTTTGCTGTTTTGTTTGTTCAACTGCAAATAAATGAAGTGTTTTTATTCTGTGTCTTCTCGAAGGCTGTTTTGATTCTTTCTCCAACTAATCTCTCAGAGTGGGATTGTAAATCCCAGTTAATGAGAAAAAAGGGGGTGGAATACTCTTGGGAATTTGAAGCTAATTCTGCTCTGTGAACACCTGCAATTGTGCTGAGCAAAACTCTCATATCTGCATTTGGGATGCAGGTTTTAAGAAATACAAATAGAATCAAGATTGTCTCTCTCTTTCTCTCTGTGATGGCAGTAGCTGTGTAGGGAGACTTTAACCCAATCCTCTGAAACTGCATTAGTTTCCTCCTAATGACATTACATGCACCTGAAAACATCTGCATGCATTTCATATCAATGCAATACAATCTTTATTATATGGTCACAGACCTGGTAAGCATTTAATATCAGGAGCTGTTTGGCCCCAGACTGGTGGCTTTTCAGGGAGGCTTCCCACATGAACCCGACCACCTTTTGTCCACCACCTTTTTGTTCTGTTGTTTGAGCACCATCTAAATTTTATTGGTTAATTGCTATACAGGTTTTCAATAGTTTTATTTTCATCTTGTTTTTTTTTGTTTATTACTGTAAACCGCCCATAGTAGTGCTTCAGCACTAATGGGGAACGGTATTTAGTAAATTTAATAAAAGAGAGAAGTAGATAGGCAGGCAGACAGACAGACAGATAGACAGGCAGACAACTGGCCAAAGGTCATCCAGGGCAGTGGATGTAGCAAGGAAAGGAAGGGAGATTTAAGTTGGCAATCTAAGCACAAGGAGAGAGACGCAGAGACATTTTTACATGATGGAAATTAGGTAATGCGCTCAGTCAACTTCCTGCGCAGTCATACATGTGCTTCTGCTTTCTATTTCAAGCATGAATTAAAAGGCAACTCCTCCCCCTATTATTTGCTGTTTGTCAACCGATAAATGCTTCTATTTGACCCCCTTTGTCTTACAGGGAATGTATTCGCTGAATGTGCGAATGTATTCGCTGAAAGTGCTCAAAGTCCTGTTTGCATGTTGTTTTTTGGAGTGGGAGTTAAATCAGCGGTTTGTTTTTCTGCTTCCACCATGAGCTTACACTGTTTGGAAGGATTTGGTGGTGGTGGTGGGAGGATTAGTTGAATGAAATTGGGGAATGGGCTGGTGGATTTCACCAAGGAACCTAGCAAGTCTCAACATGGGCTGCGCTGGCTAGGGCTCTCAACTGAGAGTGAGAACAACGTCCCCCTGCCCCATTAGGGTAAATCTTTTCCTTGTTCAGCCTGATCACCTGAACAGCTCAGAGGAGGAAGTACCAATGAAGGAGACCAAGGAAAGAAGCTTGCAATGAGCCAAGCTGCCCAAGCACCCGGAAGTCATGCCTTATTTGAAACAGGTTATTTATAAAGGCAAATCTCAAGGCACAGCTTTGCTATGAAATATAAGCCAACTAGGATGAACAGCAGGACAATTTCAGCTTCCATGGTCAGATTGCAAAATTGTTTTTAAATCTTTTGCCTATTTTCAAAGAGGACTTTCAGTTCGACAGAGGAGGGGGGAGCCAGCCACAGGCAGGGAATTATCTGCACACAGAGAAATACAAGGACACAGCTTCGTATCAAGTTGGGCCACTGAGCCAGGGAACCCAGGAAGGCCAATGCTGACCGAGAGCACCTTCTTACAATCCTCCCCAGTTTTGGAATGTCTGAGACCTTTTTATGAATGGGCTGCCAGGCTCTGGTGTGTGCTATGAAGGTGCCCGGATTTTGCTGCTGCTCCTGTAAGTAAGCCTGAGTTGGAGAGGCAGCTGGAGGGAGCCCCCCGCCGGAAATGTAACCAGTAAATAAAGAAATAATGAAAATCGGAGTGATCTTTAAAATCAAGGGTTTTGTCTCAAATTCTTATCCAAATACAAAGCAACAGTTTAACACTAGTCTACTCTATTCCATAGACTTGATGTAATTAAGTATTACTTTCTCTGACATATTTTCAACAACCTTGCCATATAGAGCAGCATCTTTAAAACGGGAATTGAGATGAAGAGTGACTTGCCCAATGCTACTGATGAGTCTGTAGCAGAGATGGGATTCAAACCCACATCTGCCCGATCTGAATTTTGGCGGTGCTTCCGCTGGCTCTCTTTAAAAGAGAATTCAATTGTCCACAGCTTACTAAGAGGAAAGCCAAGTCATTTCAGGAAGAATAATAGAACAGTGGTAAATGATCCTGGTGGAACTTGATGTGTGAAAGCTCTGGAGCGTAAAGAGAGTTCCATTGACAATTAAGCGCCTTCCAGACATGTGGACTGGCTAGCTCACCTCTCCCGCCAGGCCCAGATTGGCTGCTATGGGGTCACTTGCCGGCATCAGATACTATACCTTTGAAGCCTTTTTCCATAATGTATGTGTTCTGACGTCTATTCATTCCACAAGCACCTGCACAAAAATAATATACAATGGGAAAATGCATAAATATTTTTATGCAGATGGGACGGTGCAGCAGAAAGACTTCCCCCTCCACTCACCGTGATCTTGAGCCAGCGGGCTAAGTTTGTGGGATGAGGGGCAAGCCCGACCCACCGTGCTGGCCAGAGCAAGGGGTGGTGGCGGGTGACTACGTTGGACTGTCTTGCTGTTTTTCCGTGAAGAGCAAGTGGCTTGTGGATAGGAAGACGTCACAGAAGCTACTTAATGCCACAGGCTGCCAGAAACAACTTACTTGGCGCCCCACTGCCTCGTTCTTTTTGAAGAGGTGCTTTTGAAACAACCTGCACGGACCCTACATGGGTCATCGTTCATACAACTGGCAACTGACCCTTGGTCCCGATGGGCTGAAATTAGGCCCATTTCAAGGCAACACACAGGAATTTACTCTCACGTGGGTGAGGAATCCAGGTCTCAAAATCTCTGGGTTTATTTTGGAACGAGCATTTCTAATCCTTGCGGGTTGGTAAGCACCAGACCAAGCATTTCTCATCCTTGCGGGTTGGTAAGCACCAGACCAACTCCTGGGGGAATCTTAGAGCCACAGGCTCGAAGGCCTTGTGGGCAAAACAAAAGCCGCTTCAGGTGTGACAGGTGTGGGTCAAAGAGAGGAGAGGCTCTCAAGCATTTGCATCTTTCCACGAGGGGGAAGTGCAAAAGTTCTATTTCAGAGAACGTAGTAGAATAGAGTCAGTGACTGAATGGCATGGTGCTTCCTGTAGTCCTTACACTTTTGCCACATTTTCTAAGCCACCCCTAAGCCTTGGCTTCATAGTCTTGAGGGTTAGACATCCGTCCCCTATGAGTATTTTAAGGTAAATGGATTACGCAAGACAAGATAGGTAATTTTGCTTTGTATAGAAAAGTTGTCACAGATACTAGCCCTTGATGGTGGACCAGTTTTGTGACTATATGATCTGGAAAAATGACAGAACGAACTGTTCAGTGGTTTAGGTGTCTGGTTGCAGAACTGGAGGTTGGGACTTTGATTCCCCACAGTGCCTTCCTGACAGGATCTGGACCTGATGATCCACAGGGTCCCTTCCAGCTCTGCAGTTCTAAGAATATTATATCACCCATTCAAAGTCATCAAGTGACAAGATCCCGTTAGCTATTATTGAAAGCATAAGGGCAATGGCATAGACTGCAGTGGCAAATTGCCACTAATGAACTAGTTGCTTCTCACATCCCTTGTTGAGCAGCCATGCTCGTGGCTGGTGTACCATGAGGGTCACGAAGCAGTGCCTGATTTAGCTGGGAGCCATTTGCTGCTACAATTTACACCACGGTGTTAGGTCAGAGTCATTAACCAACAAGATTCTAGCCAATGGCAGATCAAATCTTTCCGGGGAAGAAAGGACACAGGTAGCACATCTCACCAAATTCAATGGCAAAACTCCTACTGAGGTTGTACCACTTTAAAGAGGGACACAGCATCTTTGTGGATGGGCAGCTGTTTCATGCTCACTTCCCCCATGGCTGGAACTCCTTATTAAGAAGAACTACTATCAGGGTAGAAAGAAATATCTTAAATGGAGGCCACAGATTAGTGAGCGGTTTCACTGTGTAGCCATGAATGTACCTCTTCAGCACACCTTTCAAAGCATATCATTTGTGGCCATGAAGGTTGTTTTAAAATAAAATGCCTTATTGGATGATTTACGGTCGGTGCACCTTTGCAAATGGGTGGCTCTAATGCCCCAGCCCTTACATGCTCTTTGAAAGGGTCCAATCCTGGATCAGACTTCCATGGGCATGGTGGGGCTTTGCTGACAAATGGTCCCACCAGCTTTTCCCCTCTCCTGCATGGCGGCTCACTATACCCTGCACTGGCCTCCACTTCTTTGCGACGTACTTCCCAATGTCCTGCATCTCCTTAACCCCTGAAGAGCTGTGCTCCTTCTAGCCAGCCAAGAAACCACTCTGCCCTTCTGACGGATGTCCCTTTCACCCAACATTCCCCCCACCACCGACCTTTTCTCCTTCAACTGACACCACATTCTGTGGAGGGCAGTGATGTTCTTTATTCTTGAAACCATTTTGTACAACATGCCCACTCAATGGCCCCACTCGGCTCTAATTCTGCAGGCATCAGTCACTGGGGTTGAGCAACGCCTGGGGACTGGCAGATGCAGATTTTTGTATAACCAGGCTCAGCCTCAGATCCAGTCAATATGGCCACTAGCTGACATCTGATAAAGAAAGGTCATGGGGTTCTGGGGCAGCCAAGTGCAGGTAAGGGTTTCTCTAGGATGGGCTAACCTCTGGCTGCTGGAGCCAGCACTAATTCTTAAGCTGTCCCTCTATATACATCGTGTTGCTGAGCGATGGAGACCTTCTTGAACCAAGAGGTCATACATGCAGAAAGAAAACAAAACTGTAGTATCTTGCCTTCTGCATGTAACAGCGGGTACAGCATAGCAGACCTGAGGCACCACTCGGAGGTCGCAAGTGGGAACACCAAAATATTGTCTGTGCAGATAGATGCCTTTGGAGATGCTCAAACCCAATGATCCAGGTGGAAGGAGCTTCCACATGAAGACAAGGTGGTCCTGCATTAGCTGCAGGGCAATGCAAGGCAGAGGGTCCACTTGCATTCATGTTCTCCTCGTGAGCTTCCCAGATGTCACAGTGGTGTGAACAGAACACTGGGAGAAGGTAAGGTTTTGGATTGAGACAACCTGGCTCTTCTTATGTTTTTATGGCTGAACGACAATTCTGCAGCAACCCAAGAGGTGATTCTAAACAGACAGGCCTTTTCTGCTACTGCAATGGGCAAAATTAGGTCATAGAATCATAAAATCGTGAAATTAGAAGGGGGCTATAAGGCCATTGAGCCCAACCCCTCGCTCAGTGCAGGACTACAAATCAAAGGGTATTTGTTAGGTGGTTGTTGAAATTTCTCTTGAATGCCTCCAGTTGACCACTCAACACCTCCCAAGATAATTGGTTCCATTGTCGTACTGCTCTAACAGTTTGGAGGTTTTTCCTGATTATTCAGCCAAAATCTAGCATCCTGTAACTTGAGCCCATTCTTTCGTGTCCCGCACTCCGGGATCATTCAGAACAGATCCTGCCCCTCCTCTGTATGACAGCCTTTCAAATATTTGAAAAACACGATCATATTCTCCCCTTAGTCTTCTTTTATCAATTGTCAGTTTTGCTTTCTCTAGCATTTGCTTTTCTAAAAGCCCTGGTTCTTTCTGTGCTTTAAAAAAAATCAGCAAATTTTGTAAAAAAAAATAAACTGTTCACTCAGTTGGCTTGGTCAAATTAAGTAGGCATAGCTATTCACAGTATGTGGGGGACTACGTTATACCTGCCTGCCATATCTACCTTAAAGACAAGGCACCTCTTGAAAATGACAGGTAGCTACCATTATCCAGCTCGAACATGACTGGATACATAGGCGTTCTACCCTAGCCTCTTAAAAATAAAGTACTTGGCCTGAATGTATGGATCTGTCTGTTTCCATTTCTTTGATGACACTCAGATTAAAAAAAACAACAACCCTAAAACTAAAGCAGTTCTTTCCATTCTGAATATAAGAAATTTGTGAATATTATAAACTTCTTCCATGAAATGAACTGAAACAAATTTCTTCTCCTTCCTTTGTGGCTCCCTGTAGGCTCTGAATTTAAGGAACTCGTAATTTAATATGCTAGCAAGACATGCTTCTCTCTCAATCCAACCTCTTTCCTACAAGAGTATAGAGAAGACAATACACAGAGAGAGAGAGATGCCTCTGCCCTCTTGCTTGATTTCTGTGCTGCTTACAAACAGGCCACAATGCCATTTCAGCCTTGCTGTTGTTGTTCTGTGCTGTCAAGTTGCCTCCAATGTATGGCAACCCTATGAATGAGCGATTTCCAAAATATCCTGTCCTCGACAGCTCTGCTCAGCAATTGCAACCTCAAGCTCATAGACTCCTTCAATCCATCTTGTATTTGGTCTTCCCCTTTTCCTGCTGCCTTCAATCTTTCCTAGCATTATTGTCTTTTCCAGAGATAGATAGATAGATAGATAGATAGATAGATAGAGAGAGAGAGAGAGAGAGAGAGAGAGAGAGAGAGAAGAACTACTCAGCCTTTGTAGATCCCAAGGAGTAATGCAGGATAGGTTGTTCAAGCTGATGTACAATTACAATGGGAAAAGGAAACCAAAAGCAAGTGTGCTGAAATAAGAAACGACCAAAACTCCAACTCACAACAACACTCTTAAAACTTGGATTTCACCTCTTAGTCCTGGGAGAGTGAATCCCTTCAATGGAAGGAGCCTGCAGGGGTTTCTCTTGCGCTGATGAAGCCCAAGTAAACATCCCAAGGAGAGGTGGAAGGGATACAGAGTTCTGGTTCTCAGAATGAAACACATGGGGCTGGGATGTGGGGAAACCAAGACCGAAGCATAGAGAAATGAACACCATAGAACCAAAAAGCACTTGAAGTGAAGTAGCTGATGGTCAGGACACCACTTGTCCCGTACTTATTTTCCAGCTGCAGCCATTTTTGGAAGGCTCCTTCCCCCCCCCCAACAGAACCTTCATGTATATTTCAGAACGGGCAGCTGCATGTGCTTGCCCAACTCTGTCCACTCTGCATGGTGTCTATTACAATGCAAGCACGCCAACGAGGATGGTTTGTTTTAATTCTCTGCACAATGCTTAGTCAGTTTTAGGGCTGTGATAACGATGAGTAGAATCAGGAACCAGCCCATGTCTTTCTAGGCAACTTGGAGAGTGCTTACACAATAGATGTTACAGTAAGTGCTCCATGATCAATTATGTGGGCTAGGATCTGTAATTATGTGACTGAAAATATTAACACCTGCTCTGTCAAGACTGAAAACACATAGTACTACTACTTCTTCTTCTGTTGTTCTGTAATGTTTATATTCTGTCAGCACAGTGCTGTTTGCTACTACTCAGTCTAGAAGGGTCTCTTAAGAACATAAGAGCCCTGCTGGATCAGGCCAAGGGCCCATCTAGTCCAGCTTCCTGTATCTCACAAGTAGCCCCACCAGATGCCTCTGAGAGAACATGAGACAATGAGAGACCTGCTCCTGGTACCCCTTCCCTGCATCTGGCATTTTGAAATACCTTCTGTTTAAGCCTGGAGATTGTACATCCCCATCATGTCTTGTAACCTGCAGTGGGCTTTTCCTCCAAGAATCTGTCCAATCCCCTTTTAAAGGCATCTAGGTCAGATGCCATCACCACATCCTGTGGCAAGGGGTTCCACAGACTAACAACACGCTGGGTCAAGAAATATTTCCTTTTGTCTGTTCTCACTCTCCCAACACTCAGTTTGAGTGGATGTCCCCTGGTTCTGGTATTGTCTGAGAGGGAAAAGAGCTTCCCTCTATCCACTTTATCCACCCCCTGCATAATTTTATCTTAAGACAAATGATGCTGCAGCATCATCTTTGTGACAAAACAAACATTAAAATAAAGGAGAGATAGGCAAGAATCAGAAAAATTGTGATTAATTTTGTTTTGTGACTCACCAAGGTCAACGAATCATGAATTATGGATTTATGATTTTTACTGACGAACTGATTTGTCAATCATTTTTTAAAATTTAAAACCCTATAAAATAGCTCCCAAAGCACCTAGAGACACCAACTTTGCAGGAAAGCTTCCTCTCACTCAAGATTGGTGAAGTTTGGGTTTCAGATGTCCGAGTTATACACCTAGAAGTAGGGCCTCCCAGAATTGTGTCCCCCTCCCGGTTCCTGGACACACCAAAGTAACTGAGAAGCTTCTACTGATTTTCCTCTACAACCCCTCCAAGTTTGGTGAAGATTGTGTTTCAGACATATAAGTTATACACCCACAAATTGCCCTCCCCCAAAAGTACCTTTATCAGCTGGCTTGAGGAAACCCAATCTTTACCACACATGGACGGATTGTAAAGGAAAGTCAATAGAATCTTCTCAGTGATTTTAGTGTCTCTAGGTGCCTGGGGAGGAACTTTCTGGGGGGGGTCTCTTTGTGGGCGTATAATGTGGACATCAGGAACCCAATCATCACCTTTCTTGGAAGGTTTGTAGAGGAGAGTCAGAGGATGCTTCCCTGAAATTATGGCGTCTCCAGGTGTCTGGGAGGCCATTTTATAGCCAGACAAATCAACAAATCAAAAATAGCTAACAATTCATTGTTTCAGATTCATCGGGGGGGGGCATTGATTCATATGAATACAAACTGATGAATTAGCAATATTTTAATGAATGTGGTGATTTGTTTTTTTAAAATTCGTGTCCATCTCTAAAATAAAGCCAATTAAGACACCTGTTTGATAAAGAGTCCTCAAAAACACTTTCCCCCGGTTTTACTATGAACAATCTCTTCTCCAAAGATAGCTATAGAATTAACAATTGTTTTAAAAAAGCAACTACCCAGAAAAAGATTCTTTTTTTGTTGTTGTTGTTGGAGAAGGGAGATCCACTTGTTTGAGTTTTTACTAATAAAATAGCTGGAACACAGATGACAGGGAACACATTTATGAGGGTCTTTGATTCTGGAGTAGGAATTGTTACAATCTACTTCAAATAATTAAATTTACTGACCTAGATCATTCAGATAGCTGTACGCTCTCCAGTCTGCAGAATCTCTGTCAAGGATTTTGTTACTGAGCTGTTCAAAGAGTTATGACAGCAATGAGTTAATGTGAAACCAACCAAAGAGCCCCACAAATAAATGCTGAGAATGCAAAAATGTCGGGTGGGTGCAGGCTGCTACTTCTCAATACAGTTGGTTAAACTCACTGGGATATTCTCAGACTAGAGGAGGGAAAAGTTCAGAACGGAAGGTCATCAAGTGGACTAAATCAGAGCATGCTGGGGTTCAGGGTGGGGAGAGTCACATTTTTCTCTCTACAGCAAGCAAGCTTCGAATACTTATGAAGATGACTTGCGAACTAGATAAAAACTGTCTTTGGCACAATCCAGAACAACACCACAGAGGAAAAGTGGCACCACCATCGTGACAAGTGACAGATCACCGTACAGTCTAATTAGAGAGGGAGGTCTCTTTCATCAACACAGTGGACAAGTATTCTCCCAATTCAAGGAAATACAACAATAATTCTGGAGGAGGAGAAGGTGACAGAGCCCTCTGGCAAAGACCCAAAAGAGTTTCTGAAGATAGCCATGGAATGCTTTCATCCATTTTAAAACTGCTGGAGATTTAAGGGGTTGCTTTGTGGAAACAATGGGGACCAGCCCAGAGGAAGCCTAGAGGTAGCTGTGGGACAGCGCGAACAAAGCCATGGCCACCAGACTTGCTGCTCCAGCAGGTGGCTATCACATGATCCTCCACTCATCCAATCAGAGGAAGGAAGTATGACTGACAGCTGCTGTTCTGTGGCTACCCAATCAGGTGGTGTTATGCCCTTGCTGGAGAAACCCGTTGTGAGGGACCAGTCTGATCAGGAGAAGCGAGTGGAAATGGGGCAGGGTGTGATCCTCTGACTTCCTCACGCCCAAAATAATCTGAATCTTATCAAAAGGGAAGGGGGTCTCCATTGGTTGTGTCTAAGCAAACTGTCTGGGTAGTGCTTAGAAGCCAGCCTCACTCTTCCAGCGTCACCTACTTCATCTAATGTACTACGAATGGGATTCATTCCACAGCAACCCCCAACTCAGCCACGATGGCTGTGGGATCAGGGCAGGTGTAACCCAATATATCCGGAGCCCAGGACCAATCTTGGGAAGGCTGTTTTTTTGGAAGAGCAGTCATGTGACATAATCACAATTAAATCCAACAAAGTAACATATTGTCAGAATGCTATGCCCCTCAACCCTATCTAGCACGCCCATTGATGAGGGCAGCAAAAGCAACTGAATCTACTCTGACTCTGAACTTTAAAGGAGTTTTCCAAAGTGCCAATTCTATTCTAAACATACACTGGATAGCTCTGGCAAAATTCTAATTAAAGCCCAGAGCAGATTTCCAAATCTCTGTGACACTAAAGGCACCAGCCATTACGAGATGAGGGCCAGGGGGAGCAGCAGCTTAATATCATTGAGGTAACAACAGCTTCCTCCTGATGTAGTGGATGACCATTAGGGCCTCCAGTCAAAAGCCATGTTGCTTTCTTTCTATCTTTCTTTCTTGATTGAAGAGTCTTTTCTAACTATTTTTCTGGTGTCTCTTTCAGCCTGCATTAGCCATTATCTGAAGCAGCACAATGCAGTTCAACTGCTCAAATAAATAGAGGTCATTCTACAGCTGCAACAGGATAAGCAAAGCCATTTCCCCACATTTCCTTGAACTGAGGAGAACCGTGTTAGGGTGGTGGGGTGTCGGGTGGGGGAGTGCAGGGCAACACGAGGTTCATATCTACCTTACTGGAGACGTTCCCATCCAGAGTATTGGGAAAGAACCGTGATGTCACGCCACATGACAAGGTGTGGTAACTTGGATTGGAAAAACAGTGTACACTGCAGCTACCTTGAGATACATCTGGGGAGAAAACAGGTCATCACAAGATTCTTTCAAAAGCTGCAAGGGGGGGTGGCAAGGGAAAGTATACACATACACACACATACATTCTCACACAAGCTGGTCGGCAAGGGAAAGTATACCCACACACACACACACACACACATACATTCTCACACAAGCTGGTTTATGGTTCTAGAACTGCACTGTTTCTGTCATGTTTGTTCTGCTCAGTTCAAATCTCCCCCCGCCCACCCCACTGTTACAATCCACAAGAAAAACAGGGACCATGGGAAGCTCAAAAGTGTTTTTTTTTGGGGGGGGGGGAGACTCAGACAGGATGACCAGAAGACCTATATAAATATGGAGCCCTCTATAGAAATCACTCAAAGAAACAGTTCACATTTCGGTTCACGTACACTCTGCCTTCCAATTAAAGCAAAGCAAAGCAAAGTGTGCTGCTTATATACTGCCTCATAGCGCTTACAGCACTCTCTGGGTGGTTTACAAGTTAATTTATGCAGGCTACACATTGCCCCCCCCCAGCGAGCTGGGTACTCATTTTACTGACCTCTGAAGGATGGAAGGCTGAGTGAACCTTGAGCCGCTACCTGGGATTGAACCCTACATTGTGAGTCCAGTTTTGGCTGCAGTACAACAGTTTCACCACTGCGCCATGAGGGATTTTTAGGATGTAAACAAGCAGAACCTTCACCAAAACAGTAAAAAAGAAATGCTGCAATACCTTCTCACCTCCTAAGAGATTACAATTGTCCCAGCCGACAGCCAACCATGCCCCCCCTCTCTAATCTTCCATTTTCCTTTTCCAACTAAGACTTGAGATTGTGTGCTTCACTGAGCATCATCCATCAACATACGGGGGAATGGCTTTAGGTTGGGAGGGGGAAGCATGTTCCTGAGATCTTTGAAAAGATTTGCTTCTACTCCTGCAAAGCTCAAGATTCTTCTAAGCATGCTGATTCCAGCTTCATGTTGCTAGCAACCCACCTTGGACTAGGACATATCTGTGTTAGGCATAGAATTCAATGTCCTTACAATTTTACCTTTTCTTTTAAAATAAAATAAGAAAAGATAATCTTTGTAACGCACTGAAACATGGAAATATGCATCTGCTGACCATATATTGGAAGCCATGGGGGTAGTGTTTGAATCAGATCTGAATAATTAATTTGTTCCACCATCATCATCATCAAATCAATTCTGACTTCTAGCAACCTTTTCTAGGGTTTCCCAGGTAGAGAATACTCAGAAGCATTTTACCATTCCCTTCTTTCGGGGGGTGCCCTGGGACTGTGCAGCTTGCCTAAGGCTACAACAGGCTGTCTCTTCTTCCACAAGACCCAGGGGGGAATCAAACTCCCAACCTCTGGCTTCGCAGCCAGATACCTAAACCCCTGAGCTATTCAGCCAGCTTAATAATAATTGTGTACCATCAAGTTCTGACTTATGACAACCCTTTTCAGGTTGTAGGTAAAGAGGACTCCGAAGTGGTTCACCGTTCCCTTCTTCTGGGGGCACCCCTGGGACCGTGCAGCTGGCCCAAGGTCACCCAGGCTGGCACGACTCACAGGAGGCATTGATGGGAATTGAACTCCCAACATCTAACTCTGCGGCCAGATAGCTAAACACTGGGCTATCCAGCCAGTGAGAAAAAAACAATGAAAAGGTTAAAAAAATTGTAAAACAAATAATGCAAAACAAGAAAATCAATGTGAATGTGTGTAATGTAATGAATAGCAGAATGTTGCTTTTTCCAAGCATGTGATCTTTTTAAAAAAGAAAAAAAACATGTATATGGAGGAAACCTGCTCCTGGGGACCTCTATAGTTGCTTCATCATCAAATCTATCAAGTAATTAGACCAAGGCACTTGGCCAGGAACACAGCAACTCCTCAGGGTACTCTATGGTTAATCCATCAGGGAATCAACCAGGTCCTTACATTATTCAAGCCTGTTAAGATTAGTTTACAATGCTAACTATTTAAGGAATGCAGACCTGCCTAATTATTATTTTTTAGCAATCAATTTGTCTTGCCATTGAAGAAGATGATGAAGAAAAAGCAGTGGGCCCACCAAGATCAAAATAGCAACACTTTGTTTAGAAAATTAAAGCAGTCTCTAATTAGTAATTAAATACTACTTGCAAATTTGTGAACAAACTGAAATATTGCAAAGAACCGCATCTGAAGTTCCGCAAGCAGGGCCAAATAAATGAAGCATATTCCTGTTTACCTTGAGTTAATTAAAAAACTTAATTTACAAACACTATGCCAATGAAACAAAAAATACTGATATTCACAGTTACGTTTTCATGCTCCTGTTGTAAACTTCCCAATTAAATAAGTAAACAATACGTGCGTGAAACAGCAGCGCCTATCTATATAAGGGACGAGTATCTGGTTTTATTCAGGTATCACCATTGCATGCTGTAATTTGACCATGGGATAGGTAAGTGAAAACGACAGCCCTGGAGTACAAAACTGGATTCCTTTTCAAAAAAAGCCTCTCTGTGACTCTTCTGACATCTTGTGGAGCACTTGATGCCTCCATTCACTGCAGAGAAGTCAGGCTTTTGAACCGGGAGATGTTTCTGGATGGAGGTGCTCTTCAAGTGTAAGGTAAAGGTAAAGGTTTTGAACCGGCAGATGTTTCTGGATGGAGGTACTCTTCAAGTGTAAGGTAAAGGTTCCCCTTGACATTTCGTCCAGTCGTGTCCGACTCTAGGGGGAGGTGCTCATCCCCGTTTCCAAGCCATAGAGCCAGTGTTTGTCTGAAGACAATCTTTCCATGGTCACATGGCCAGTGCAACTAGACACGGAATGCTGTTACCTTCCCACCGAGGCAGATGTTTCTGGATGGAGGTACTCTTCAAGTGTAAGGTAAAGGTTCCCCTTGACATTTCGTCCAGTCGTGTCCGACTCTAGGGGGAGGTGCTCATCCCCGTTTCCAAGCCATAGAGCCAGTGTTTGTCTGAAGACAATCTTTCCATGGTCACATGGCCAGTGCAACTAGACACGGAATGCTGTTACCTTCCCACCGAGGTTGTCCCTATTTATCTACTTGCAATTTTTTGCATGCTTTCGAACGGCTAGGTTGGCAGGAGCTGGGACAAGTGATGGGCGCTCACTCCGTCATGGGGATTTGATCTTACGACGGCTGGTCTTCCGACCTTGCAGCACAGGGGCTTCTGCGGTTTAACCCGCAGCGCCACCATGTCCCCGCTCTTTGAGTGTAGGCACCCCAAATCCACATGTTGAAACATCTGCCACCTACAGCCTGATTCCACCAATCTCTTACCTGACAGTGGAATAAGTGGTGACATCTGAGGTCAGGAGGATTCTGACCCTCAGCTGTTCAGGGCCAAATTACACCCCACCTGCTCAGACTCGAGTCTTCACTGCAGACTAACTGTTGAACCTGGGCAAACAAAACACTCCATTCTCCTCGGGCAAAATGAGGATCGCTGTGGACTCACTTCAATGGAATGTGGTTATCTTTCAATTTCAGAAAGAAAAAAATCTGATAGTTGCTGTCGGTTTTCTGGGCTGTTTGGCCATGTTTTGAAGGTTTTTCTTCCTAACGTTTTGCCAGTCTCTGTGGCCGGCAGAGATTGACGATCTCAAGCTTCCAGCATATTCTCTTTTAGCTACTGAAGGAAAAGGCTGCATGCCTGCTCCTTTCCATTTCCATCCCTCGCCAACAATGTGTACATTTTGTGCCCTCAAGCCGATGACTCGCACAGGCTGCCTGGCATCTGGTTTCTTGAAAGCCGCCCTTTTCCCTTCAGAGGTTCAACAGCCAACCAACATACTGTAAGCTCACCGGCTCCTGCCAAGTAGATGATTGTCATTTCCAAAATGCCCCTTTCTTTCAGCTCCCTAAAGGAGGAAGCATTTCTTTGTACCCGGAGCATCTCCAGAATAAGTAACTTATTTCTGGGCAGTTCCATTTTACGACCAGCCTGAGTGTGGTTTTAGAGTGGACAAGCGCGGCCTGCTGCTGCTCCCCTTCCCCTTCCAACAGTCTAGGGGCACCTTAAAGGTTACACGAGTGTCAAGGGGCGGCGCAAAAGCACTGGGCATGCGAGGTGGCAGCAGGCTCTGTGGACTGCCACTGACTTCATCAGATGCATGGAGTGTTTCCTCCACATATGTATCCGACCACCAAGACGACACTGCACGCCCCTGGAGAGGCGGGCTGGAGCCCTCACAAGCTTATGCCAAAGAAAAGAGCTTAGTCTTTCTTGCATTTGCTGCCAACAGACTAAGCAGGATGCTGTACCCCATTGGCAGCTTCAGAAAGGA